TATAAAAATCCATGTTTGGGCTATAAATTTGTATTGTACATAGTGTCTCAAGGTATAATCTATTAAAATTTGAATACAATAGACAATTAAGACCAAGAAAGGCTATCGGAAAATCATATAAAGTTATCATAAGCAGAAAGGTATTTGATGAGCTCATCAAGGAAAGAAAAGGTCATTACTTTATTATCATTATTGCTGTATCATGCCTGTACATGCTTTTTGATTATACATAAAGTACTAGTCTAGTATTATTTTTTGCTATATTTATAGTTATGATGACCCAAGAATCAAAACATTTTTTAAGAGAAAGAAAGGTAAATAAATATGATTATGCATGCATACATGTTTGCATGTATTGTGTGTTGAGGTTTGTGGCTAAAATTTGTTATTATCAGCCACAAATATTTTTAGAAAAACCAAAGGAGAACTTATAAAATTAATGCAGGAAGTACCAAAAAATGGACATCACCAATCCTTGCATATGTAAGTATATGTAATAACAAGAGTACATGATAACCATCATGTACTCTTGGTAATAATGAGATTAGCAACACCCTTGCATCATTTTTACACCTCAGTCTAATTTACTGTATATGTGGTTTTTTTTGAGGGGATTATATTTTGCGAAATCTGCTTAAATTCCAATTTGTGGATTTTAATTTCGCGAATTCTACCACTTGTGCCATGTGGTACCATATTAAATTGATTTTTTTGTGAATTTTATTTTCGCGAATCAGGAGGGAATCCGCGAAATTTGTAACCCTTGAAAAAAAACCACTTATATGGTAGTAATTTTGTACATTATTGATCTTTATTGATGTATTGGGCATTTGGCTCTACAATTATGAATGATAATTACTTAGATAGGCATCTGCCATTATTATTATTGAATGCCTTGTACCCCTTTTTTAGTAAATCATTGAAGAGCAAGGGATCACCTGTTATTTCAAGTGATTATAACAAAAAAGAATTTATTAATTTTAATAGAATTAATTTATTTTTAAATCTTTATTTCTTATTTTAAATGTTCTACCTAACAAGAAGATCAAGTCTTTTCAACTCTGTATAATTTTGTTGACTTGCTAATTTTTCAGTGACTATAAATTAATTATTCTATTTGCTGTTTATTATTTTGTTTTGTTGTTCCAAACCTAACATATCCTTTACCATCATGTATAGTGTACTCAAAAAACTTTGCCAAAAAACTTTCGAAGTAAAAGTTATTTCCTAAAATTAGGTCTGATTAAAAATATTTCAAACTGAGGAGACAATATTTTTAGCATAATGAGGTGCAGTCTGCCATTAAAGCAATCATATTAATTATAATTTTAATAATATTTTTAAAGAACTACAACACAGAAAAACAACAATAATAATATAATAATATGATCTTATAATACCAAATGAGAGACATGTAAAGAGAAACAAAAAAAGAGAGAGGGGGTGTCTTTAGTTAATCAATAAAGAGATAATGATAAAAAGAGAAATGAGTCCGAGGGAAACATGCAAATACCCGGAACCGGACGGAGGCTTAGGTTTATCATCATCAGGTCCATCAGTAGTACTAACGGTACCAGGAGTTGAAGTGGGGTTGACTGAAGAAGAAGAACTAGAAGAAGAGGAAGATGATGAACTAGAGGAAGAGGAGCTAGATGAACTTGAAGAGCTAGAAGATGATGAGCTAGTACTAGTTGAGCTGCTGGGTGGGTTAGTGGATGATGAAGAAGGTCTGGTTGCTGTTGATGAACTTAATGAAGTTGAAGAAGGTGTGATGGAAGTCGATGATGAAGTCATGGTTGATGAGGATACAGAGGAAGGCGTGGTCATTGTGGCGGAACTAGATGTGGTTGTTGTAGTAGATTCTGTTGTTGTGATAATGGAATCTGTTGATGTGGGCAATGGCGTAGTAGATACTAATTGAGAAATAGCAATAATAATAATGATGTCATTGCACTCTACATGTCTGTCTGTCTATCTCTCTTCCTTGATCTCCCTCAACCCTCTTTCCTAGCTCCCTTTCCCCCTCTCCCTCCCTCTCTCTCTCCTCTCTTTCCTTCCTTCCCTCCCTCTCCCTCCCTCCCTCTCTCTCCCTCCCTCTCTCCCTTACCTTTAGCACAAGATGCAGTAGACGTTACAGTGGCTGGACTACTAGGATATCCAGTATTCTGAAACTGGTCGTACCTGTTGGTACCAGCAGTAATATCATAATTGCTAGTGGTCGGCAGTTGAATATTACACAAATGAACTTCACAAGTGATCACACTTGAGCTGCATGACTCCATTTCCTTTGACACGTTCATGAGTAGCGTTATTGCGTCTTTGTAGAGTAGGCCAGTATCTGCTCTAGTGTATAGCTCTGGGTTCTGTCTTTGGGAGAGTCTATCTGGAGACACTTGAGTGTATTTGTAACTAAAGAGAGGAAAATAATGTAAAGTAGAATACAGTGCCTGATAAAGAAGCTACAATATGTATATTATATAGTAAACTAGTAGGTCCTATACTCTGTATATGAGACTACCGTATAGCGGGATTTATTGAGAGTAAAAAAATTGACAAAAAAAGTAAATTTCCCAGGTCGGCAAGTTTTAATTTGACAAATAGTGCCCTTTGCATACATGTGGCACAAAGTACAAATTTTTTGACAGTTATAAAATTTGACATTTTATTTTAAATCGTCAACTCGTCAAAATAAAACCTTTGTCAATAAATCCTGCTATACGGTATTCTAGTATACTATATATAATCAAGAGTGGATATCATATTTCATAATGATGACAGCATTTCTGCATGGCAGGTCTACATACAAAATATAGAACCCACCACATCAAAGGAATGATATATCATTTTCCTATTTGTAGTATGATGCGTGGGCGGATCAAAGGCACCACCAGTGCTATAACTTCAATAATGAGCATGGTATGAAAATATAGCACTTATTGGAATATGTAGTGCTGTACAGTATAATATGTATGGGCTTTCCTTTTAACCACAAGCTTTGATAGAGGCAAACCACAGCCACAGCTATATACATTATACATGTACTATTATCTGTACATGTATCTGTACTAATACATGTACTATCATTCCTTTGATGTGGACCCACCACATCAAAGGAATGATGTATCATTTTCCTACATAATGTATCTACACTTTATATTAAGTGTAATAATATAATAGACACAACTGAGTCTGCTATTATATCAATTAGAGGTCACCATTGGTCAGTCATTTATAGACTTTATTATAGGCAATAAATTGTTTTAACATTAAGATACTGATTGTACATGTATATACATGTACATGTAAGCCAGATACATGTAGCATTGTGTAGTAAAGCCTTTGTGAATGAATCACTTTGAATGCAGTGAACTTTATAGCACATATTCTAAACTACAAAAGAGTACGTGTGTACTTTAATTCACTTCAAGCCATAAAAACTTCCCACTGATCATCTTGCAATATAATATACATGTACATGTATTTGCATGCTTAAATTGATACCTGATAAGGTCTAACACTAAATTAATAATCAATTCTTTTTTGCTCTTTCACTTTCAAAGACCCAAACCCACTCAGGCAACACACAATATGCATAAACCATTTTAGTTTCCTGCCAACTAATTTCCTTTCTCTCTCCCTCTCTCTCCCCCCTCTCTCTCTCCTAACATACCTTCCCTCATCAGTTCCATTCCAGCAGTTACAATCAGAGGGTGTTGCTGATGAACACATACTACTACTCAGTCCATTAAACATCAAGTGAATGCCATTAGTACAAGACACAGTGCCAGCTAGTGCTGCATCAACTTCTGACGATGACTGTCTCTTAGTAACCAGTGATCTCTTAGCAACCAGCGAATGGCGAGTATTAGAGGCAGAAATACTTCTTTTCTTTCTGCCAAATATAGATTCAAACGTAACACCACACTTTGTTTCTAACTAAAAAAGTAATAAAAAATAAACAATGATTGACAAAAGGTATCATTTGGTGGAATATTAAATTAATCATTATTGTGAAAAAATATCAACTTGTGTGTTTTCTGTTAGAGAAACATTATTTTCAAAAGTTACAAAATAACTTTTTGCATCCTGTGCATAAATTTCATTGTGCATGAATTTCAAAGACAAATTTAATTAGTTTGAATCAAAGCTTTAAAACTCACCTCACCCTTTATAGTACTAGTATCTGTTTGAGTTTTTTGAGCAAATTTAAACATTTCAGTCTGCAATATATTGAGAGCATCAAATGGATCATAGGCCAACAACTGATTATAAGTAGAGTATAACGACTGGTTAAACTTAGCATAAGCAGTGCCAAACTCCTCAATATCAACAAGACATCCTCTCATTACATTAATGCAATGAGAAGGACAATAGGAAAGGCTCATACCAGCACAAAGCGAGCAAGACCTTAATTGTGCTAACTCTTTCATGCAGTCGGATGAGAAACCATGAGATATGATCGAAGCTAGAGCATTCTCGGCTACTTTGAGACCTCGTAGATACTTGAAATATAAATTGTAACGGATGCCAAATTTCTTTGATCTGTCTAGGGTTTCATTGCCATTCTTGTTCCAGAAATAATTGTAAAAGCAGTTATTGAAGTCATCTCCAGTTGGTACCGTAAGAAATTGCCGCTTCACAGATTCCACAAATACGGTTGTATACAAAGTGAAGTAAACCTTTTGGAACTCAGTGTCAAGATTGCAGTAGCTGAGGGAGGTCATCCCAGATTTTAGATAGTTGTAAAAGTCATCAAAGATGTGCCTGTGTGTATTGAAGCTGCTAAGAGCCACTATCTGAAAACCTTGAAGCAAGACAGCTTTACTTTGATCAATGTATGCCTTAGTGAGATCTATTAGGAGAGAAGGGGAAGAGAGAGAGGGAGGGAGGGAGGGAGGGAGGGAGAGAGAAAGAGAGAGAGAGAGAGAGATGAAAGAAGAATGGGAAGGAGTGAAGTGTTAAGGTTATTGTACACATTTAGATAAGAGTTATTTTTAAAAAGATGAAAGAGAAGACTTCAAAACATGTTGTGATATAAACTATCAAGACATCATCTCTTTGAAGTAGGCCAAACCAACCAACAGTTTACTATATAGTAATGGTAGAAAGCACAAACTTTGACATAATCAATCACATACAAAAAACAGTGGTGACTTTTATTACATGACACTTAATTGCTAGACACATACATACATCCTTATGCTAGTGTATAAAGTACATGAATGCCAAGCGATAAAAGGATTTGAGCAATTAAACAATGATAGAAATATGGAGAATGACACTGTAAACACACACACAGAAAAGGAAAGACAGAGAGAGAGAGTGAGGAAGACAGACAAGAGTATGAGATCAAAGAGGGAGAGAGGAGAGAGCTTATGGGAGGAAGGAAAGCAGAACACTGTGTCGCTTACCAAGTAGAGTGCTATTGAGACAAGGACTTATTGAATTATTAAGTTTATTGAGTTACA